GAGGAAAGGGAGAGTGTGTGAGAGAGGGAGAGAGGAAAAGAGAGAGAGGGAAAGGGAGAATGAGAGAAAGGGAGAAGGAGATAAAGGGAAAGGGAGAGTGAGAGAGGAAGGAGAGAGAGAGGGAAAGGGAGAGAGGGGGAGAGGGAGAGAGGTGTCTGTCTGCATAGAGGCAGGCTGAAGGGGATTGGGGGTGGAAGGAAACTGGGGACATTGGTGGTGGGAAATGTACACTGGTGAAGGAACGGGTGTTGGGACATTGTACAACTGAAACCTGATGATGAACAACCTTGTCATTGTGTATCTCACAGTGATTCGATGCTTAGCCTGCTTCTGTGCTCCTCCATGAGGTAAATTCCCTCCACCCCGTAGGAGCCAGGGCAGGTTCATGCTCCTGGTCGTCTCTGTGGGAGAGCGTCTCCTGAGATCAGGGGACACATGTGTTATAGGTTGCTATGATCTTGGGTGGGCAGAAGCCCAGTGGCCTTTGGCTGGCCAGTGTGGATATAATGCTGTAAACAAGGTCTGGGTCCTTCCTGGTCAGTCCAGGTCACCACTCTGGCCATGCTTGTTTGCACCCTCCCTAAGCGCCACCTCCCCACCTACGTTTCGGTGTGGCTTTGTGAGGGAGAGGTACAATTCAGTAAGCGTTTCTTCAGCAGCGTTAGCTGGCCGTTAGCTGGCCTTCTCTGCAGGTTGGGCCCGCTAGCCAAGGACAGGTGTGGCAGTGCTCGGGTTCCGGCTGAGTGGGCAGAGAATTGGGGATCCACCCCAGCATCTGGCCTGTTTGTAGGAGTCTCTGCGTGAAGAGGTTCCCAGGTAACCCCTGCAGTACAGCCATCATCTCCGGATTCTCTCTTACTCCTGGAAGGGTTGGGGGGGTGTGTGAGTTTTTGCTTCTTTACATTTGCATTTTAACTTGGCTGGTGTCATACTGCAGAGGCTGCCTCCTAGCTGGAGCTCAGGTTTCCATCAGATCTCTTTGATCCCTCTCTGCCCAGTGTGTGTAATTAGGAACCCATCAGGCTCCCAGCAATACTTGCTTGGGTTACGACCCTCCTGGCTCTCTGGTGGCTGAAGTGCTACTATAGAGTCTTGTGGCTCTTGTTATCTCAGAATCAGTCACCTGAGGAGATGCAGAGCCCTTGGTGAGAGGGCTGGAGTGGTAGTCAACCAGGACTCAGGTAAAAGGCTACCAAAAGTCAACTCTTATATAGAGTCCTTATAAATAGAAAGTCCTGTACCACTTTCTATTCTAACCCTTTCATCCTTCCCGAGTGATCTGTGTTCCTCTCCATGCCAATGGCTTCGGACACTGGTGAACATCACGGGTCACGTTGTACCCCTAAGACAGTAACATTTACACTCATATAAACAAGTGTGACCAAAAAAAGAACAAATTCAGTCACAAGGTGTTTTTTAAACAATGAGATGAATAAAATAACACAAAGTACTTATTAGAATGTGTGTAATAACTATAATTTATTATATAATAAACATATAATTATTAATGAAAATTAGTCATGCCTTTCATGCTTGAGATCTGGGTTTGATCTTCAGCACCATGGGGGGGAGGGAGGGAGAGAGGAAGGAAGGAAGGAAGGAAGGAAGGAAGGAAGGAAGGAAGGAAGGAGGAAAGGAGGGAGGGAGGGAGGGAGGGAGGGAGGAGGAAAGGAGGGAGGGAGGGAGGGAGGATGAGAGGGAGGGAGGGAAGGAGAGAGGGAGGGAGGGAGAGAGGGAGGAAGGAAGGAAGGAAGGAAAGAAGGAAGGAAGGAAGGAGGAAAGGAGGGAGGGAGGGAGGGAGAGAGGGAGGGAGGATGAGAGGGAGGGAGGGAAGGAGAGAGGGAGGGAGGGAGGGAGAGATGAAGGAAGGAAGGAAGGAAGGAAGGAAGGAAGGAAGGAAGGAAGGAAGGAAGGAGGAAAGGAGGGAGGGAGGGAGGGAGGGAGGGAGGGAGGAGGAAAGGAGGGAGGGAGGGAGGGAGGATGAGAGGGAGGGAGGGAAGGAGAGAGGGAGGGAGGGAGAGAGGGAGGAAGGAAGGAAGGAAGGAAAGAAGGAAGGAAGGAAGGAGGAAAGGAGGGAGGGAGGGAGGGAGAGAGGGAGGGAGGATGAGAGGGAGGGAGGGAAGGAGAGAGGGAGGGAGGGAGGGAGAGAGGAAGGAAGGAAGGAAGGAAGGAAGGAAGGAAGGAAGGAAGGAATTTTCACAAAAGTGAAACATCTGAAGCATGTTGAAGTGGAGTTAGAAAGTGTGAGAGTGCAATGATGTATTTTATAATTATGCAGGTGCTCTTGAAAATAAAGGTCAAAATTTACTTTAAAAGAGTAATTTGTATTAAAATTTAACTTCTTTGCTCTCCATATTTAATGATTAGGTTGTTAAGTTTGAGGTTTCTGTTTCTCAGTTTGGTGCAGCCAGTCATTTTTGGTACCTACCCTGTGCCCAGCCGGGGGGTGGGGGGGGGGGGAGGCGGGTAGGCAGGGATAGAGGAATCAGCTGGCAGGTGTCAGGAGGCCTCTGGCCCAGGGAGGGTCGCGCCTGCATCCAGTGGTGCCACTGACCCAGAGTGCCGAGTGTCAGTGTCGGATCCTGGGCCAGGACCTCGAACCTTCTTAGACAGGAAGTATCAGGTTGGGCCAGAACCTCGATACTTCTTAGACAGGAAACCGTCTCTGAGCTGCCCCTACACGAGCTTCCGTGCTCTTTGTTTCTGCTCTTCATTGCATCTGACTCCGAGAGGGTTCCTCGGTGCTGTGCTGATCAAAGCCAAGATGCCAAGGAGAGAAAAAGGTGATGGGAGAGCAAAAGGTGACTTGGTTTCCTCTAACCTTCTGTGTGCAAAATGGCTTTGCCACCCTGGAGCAGTGGGCGGGCATTGCCCCTCCCACAGCATATGCAGGGGAGCCGGGAGAGTCTCCCTCCCAGCTGGGGAGGAGAGCAGGAGAGGATGTTAGCAGGCCCTGTCAAAGAACGTTTCCTCAGGGAGTCGTCTGTGAATTCAGGATGGCGAGAGTGAAATGGACCGTACATGCAGGAGAGTTGAGTCTTTAGATTTGAGCGCTCTGCTGAGAGAGGTGGAGATCTGACGTGTGGGTCCATATCAAAGTCTTTGTGGTTCGGGAGGATCCTCCCAGGATGGGAGAAGCAAGCTGAAAGTAGACTATAGACCAAACATGATTGCCACTCAGTGCCTCTTCTGCAAACCACAACACCCAAAAGGAGAGAGAGAACAGAGGGGAATGCCCTGCCACAGAGGTGGGATGGGGGGGATGGGGGGTGGGAGGGATACTGGGATCCGTGGTGGTGGGAAATGGGCACTGGTGAAGGGATGGATGTTTGATCATTGTATAATTGAAACCCAAGCACAAAATTTGTAAGCCTACAACTGTATCTCATGGTGTTTCACTAATAAAAATTTTAAAAAAGTCTTTGTGGTTCTAGGAAGTATCACCTGGTCCTCTCCGGAGGGAGTGGTGGCAGTACAGTTTCCTCGACAGCAGGTGCTACGGGGTGGGATCGATCCCCACGTTCACCTTCCTCTTGCTTTGTTTTCACAGTGGCCTGAGGAAAGATCTTTGGAAAACCCAAGCTGAGGTCTAGGAAGGTCGTTTGTATAATATATGCATGGGCACTTACAGAAAACCACGAAACTGACATGTGTTTGACATTGTGTAAAGGTGCCAAGTGTCACAGTTTATAGTGGACGTGAAGGTGTGACCTGCTGCGGGGACAGCAGAGTTCTGTGGCGTGTCCTGGTTCTTCTGAGGCTCCAGCTGAGCATGGGGGACCCTGACAGTGTGTCTGAGTGAAAGCAGAGAGAAGCGGCAGTGTGAGGAGGCTGCGGGTTGCCGGTGTGTGCTGGAGCTGCCTGGAGCACACCTTGCGGGGAGCTGACTCAGCACCCGGCGGAGCTGCGCCTGGGATTTAGCGCCAAACGCGGTGCGGCTGCCACCTTGAATGTGCTAATCCCGCGAGAGTGCATAGACTGGGTTTTGGCTGATAAGCTCTCTCTTGGGTTTAAAAATATAAGCCCTTACAACAGCATCGTAGTGCGAGAAAAGATTTTGGACGGGATTTTTGTGAACTTGAAATTCCATAGGACGGTTTGGAGAGAAGCTCGTGGAAAAGGCGTGTGGTGCCATGGCCTGTTGCACACAGATGGGCATGGCCAGGGCTCAGTCGCCCCGGACTGAATGTTGGGATTCGTAAGGGGCATGCAGGAAGGAGCTGAGGTCCGGAAAGGGTCAAATAAACATACCCAGGCCTCAGAACCTCTCGATAAGCATTTAAAATGTTATTCTTGTGGTGGTGAAAAATGGGTACTGGTGGAGGGATGGGTGTTTGATCATTGTACAGTTGAAAACCAAAGCACAAAAATTTGTAAATCTACAACTGTACCTCATGGTGTTTCACTAACAAAAATTTTTTAAAAAATGTAAATGATGGAGAATGGGCACTGGTGGAGGGATGGGTACTGGATCATTGTATAATTGAAACCCAAGCACGAAAATTTGTAAGTCTACAACTGTACCTCATGGTGTTTCACTAATAAAAATTTAAAAATAAACAAATAAATAAATTAAATTACAGGTGAAATTAAAAAAATCCTTGTAAAAGTGAAATAGAATAACAAGATAATGTCCTAGTTTTCTAAGAATTTTAAAAAAAATTAAAATAATTCCAAGGGCCAGAGAGATGTACAGGGGTTAGAACACAAGTCTTGCCAGGTGCCTGGCCACGGGCACCCCCAGCAGCCCTGGCCTTGGTGGTTCCGACACAGGCCTTAAGCAGCCCTGAGCCATCTGGTCTTGTCGATGGAGACAAGGAGTGGCCCCCGGCCCCCAGGATTAGCACTTGGGGCACCTCCTCCCCAGCTCTGAACTCGCTGCCTTCTCAAGGCTGTGCCTGATGGAAACGTCCCTGGGTCTGTTTTCCCACCAAGATGGGAGCAGAAGTTTCTCCTTTATCTGTTCCAGCAATTTTCCATCTGTTCTTTTTCACTTCTAGGCGGGAGCCAACGTTCTTCTCCAGGACGTCAATGGGAACATACCCCTGGATTACGCTGTAGAGGGGACGGAGTCGAGCACCATCCTGCTGGCTTACCTGGATGAGAACGGTAGGTGGAGGCCATAGGGCTGGGGAGGTGTGGGCATGGAGAGAGGTGGCATGTGTGCATGTGGGTATGTGCGTGCGTGGGTGTGTGCACATACATGTGTGTGCGTGTGTGTACGTGTGTGCATGTGTGTACGTGTGTGCGTGCATGTGTGCACGCGTGTGTGCATGTACACGTGTGTTTTCATGTTCGTGTGTGCATGTGTGCATGTGTGCATGTGTGCATGTGTATGCATGTGTGCATGTGTGTGTCATGCACATGTGAGTGCACGTGTGCGTGTGCATGTGTGTACATATGTGTGTGCGTGTGTGCATGTGTGTGCGTGTGTAGGTGTGAGCACACATATTTCACAAGAGTCTGATGCCCATTTTCCTAGAGTCCATGAAAGACCTGAATAGCACCCATTGCCCCATCCACATGCTTTGTTGATTTTTTTATTAAAGCTATTTCAGTTTTGCAAGCCATCAGGAACCTTGAGGCCAGCACTCCAAAGGAAAGAACATTCAAGTAGCCCTGAAGTTGCCAGTCTGTGGACCGGGCACGCCATTCTATCTGTGCTCCTAGGAGGGGCAGGGAGGGGCCCCAGTACCAGGGGCCGGGCTCTTGAAGTCTCCTGAGTGGAAGCTGACCAAGAGTGCCCTCCTGGGAAGCAGGGCTGGCCCTCAGTGCACAGTGGCGCCACCGGAACAAGCCCTGTGGCCCATGCGGGGAGGGAGATGCCCAACTCAGGGTGTCATTTCATGAGTAAGCACGGCACTTGGTAGCATGGGGGTTCGTAAGCCCGGGCCCAGCGTGGCATTTAGCATCCCGGAAGAGCCATGCCTCTTCTCCCGTTCCCCGCTTTGTTTCAGTATAAACAATAGCAGAGAAATCCCAGTTCCCTCCTGGAGGACGGTCTTTTGTTCGAGAAAAGCTACAAGGCTGTCAGAGCCCCCATGGGGGTGGCGCTGCCCCACCCCCCGCGCACCCCATCTGCCTCTTTGTTCCGTGCTCCTTGCCTCCCCCGATGGCTTTCAGCAAGCAGTACTCTATTCCGAGGAGGCTGAGAATAATAATAATTAGCTCCTATTGAAGAGAGCAGCTTGTGCTATGCGAGGTGGTGAGCCCAGGTGCCCTCCGTGGGGACAGTGCGAGCCCCGCATATGACGGCAGCTTCCCAGGGCAGGGCGGGGTCAGAGCGTGGGTGGCAGCAGGGCCCGGGTAGGGGGCATCAATTGACGACCTCCAACCCCGTCCCCCTACACCAGGGCCACACAGGGCTGTGACCTGCTGAGATGGTCTGTCACTTGCATCCGCGGGCTCACGGCCCCAAGTCCTGCCCTCCTGCTGGTGGCACGTTCCTCCCCCAGCCTTGGTTGGACACTGGAGTCCCCACTTGGCCATGTGCTGTAGCTGTGTGCTGTCCCTGCCCGCCCTGGGCTCTGCTCACTACTCAGCATCTCCTGCCATCACAGGGAGATGCCTCCGATCGGAAACTCACGTCTTCAGGGCCCGATGGACAGGCCAGGGGTCACGTCATTGGCCTTGCATGCAGCTGACCCAGGTCAGCTTCCAGCACCACATAACCCCGAGCACCACTAAGATCGATCCCTGAGCACAAACCAGGAGTTAAGTCCTGGACAAACACCCCCAAACTATGCATCTTCACTTGCAGAAGAATCAACATGCCTTGGAAATGCTTTCAGCTTATGGAAGGATTTTGTTTGGTTAGAAAATTCAGAATTGGGGCTGGAGCGATAGTACAGTGGGCAGGGCATTTGCCTTGCATGTGGTCGACCCAGATTCACCACCAGGCACCACCAGGAGTAATTCCTGAGTGCAAAGCCAGGAGTAACCCCTGAGCATCGCTGGGTATGACCCAAAAAGAAGAAAAATTTAAAAAAAGAAAAAGAAAGTTCAGACTAGTCCAAAGTGAGGTCATGGATGCTGACATTAAATGAGGGTACTCTGTGGGCTGACTCAGAAGACAGAATTCCGCAGAACACAGGAGAGAGGACATCAGCATGTGTGCCAAGGGGACAGTCTGTCCTCCAAGAGCTGGGCTGGCCGGAGTGTGGAATGCATGTTGACAGCTCAGGTCTGGGTCCCTGTCTGTGATGTGGAATCCCATTTCCCAGGTCGCAGCGTCTGTGTCCCCTCCCCTCCCCAGCCTGCTCTGCTTCTGCCAATGTCCCTTTTCTGGTCCGTCTCAGCTGCCAGAGTCCCAGGAAACGCTGTCAGCTTTGATTTACTCTCTGCTTGCTGGGCGCCCTCAAGAGTCGCCAGATGACAGGTAGCTCGGGCAAAGCCCTCAGCCGTGCCCTCCTCTAAGCTAAGACTTGTGCCCAGCGTGGCTTCCAAGGCTGCCGCCCAAACCTCAGTTGAACCCGAGCCGTGTCCGGTCAGAGCACGCTGGACATAGGCACGCATATGGTGGAGGTAGGCAGGGCGCTGGCAGGTCGATTACGTGGAGAGTCTCTGGCCACACGTTCTGACTGTCCTACCAGCACGCCTGTCTGCGGACTCCACAGTTAACCTCAGCTCACCCAAGCTTCCCAGGCTGGAAAATGGGACAACCGTGGAAGACTGATTGTGCATGGGATGCTGAGACGGCTCACATGGGGCAAGCCAGCTGGTACTAGGGAAACTGCAGTCACAAAATGAGCCAGCAAGGAAAAAGGGCACTGCATGTGAGCTCAGAACGAGCCAAACACTCAGCAGAGGGGGTGTGTGTGCATGTGTGCATGTGTGTGTGTGTGCGTGTGTGCATGTGTCTATGTGTGCATGTGTGTGTATGTGTGTGTCTGCATGTGTGTGACTGTGTGCATGTATGCTTGTGTATGTGTGAGTGTGCATGCATGTGTGCGTATGTGCTTGTATGCATGTGTGTGCGTGTGTGCATATGTGTGTGCATATATGCTTGTGTGTGCATGTGTGTGCATGTGTGTGCGTGTACATGAGTGTTTAAGTCTGAAAATGACTAAAAGCCAGACTGACGTGGCACTGCATATGTTCTAAACAACCACCATTCTACCCATCCTTTGGGTAAGTCCTTTACATTCTCCCAAGTTTACAACCCATAGAAATTCAGCTTCTGCCTGGCAGATGCTCTGGAGATGTGCAGACTGGACAGCGTCCATAGTGGCTTCGCTGTTCCTCAGGACTGCTCCTGTGACCTTCTGTGCCCTTGAGTGTGCGCTCTCTCTCTCTCTCTCTCTCCCTCTCTCTCCCTCCCTCCCTCCCCCTCCCCCCCCCCTCTCTCTGCGTAAATTTCGGGGTGGGATGGAGACTGACCGGCTCCTGGGCGGTCCTCAGGGATGGTGTCGGGAAGAACTGCAGGGGACTCTCTGCCTGGTGCTCCTCCCCTCTGGGAACCAATCATGCAGACCTTTCACCCTGGCCTCAGAGCACCTCCCGTGAGAAGCTGGCCATAGAGATGAGGTTCATGCTAGCCAGAGGGGCCCCTTTACTATGACGTTAAACAGTGCACAGGCACCTGATGGGACCTCATCCATCCCCCCTCCAGCTCCAAGCCGGCCCTCAGTCTCTGACCATCTCTCTCTCCTTTCACGCGTCTCTGCCAATACTTGCTGGGGGTCTTAGCAACTTAGGAGATACAGGGCCGTTCTCATGGGTGTGTCTCCCCATCCCAGGCCACAAGAGAGGAAACCACAGAGAATAAAAGCGGTTACATCACAGCATCCTTCAGTGCAGTTCCCTGGAAATTCTTTGGGCAGTGTTGGTTGGGGATTTATACTAAAGCAGATACTACTGAAGCTCTGCCGTGTTTATTGCACCTGCAGTCTGTATCAGGCATATATTGAGAGAATATTCTTTTCTTAATGACGGTACTCTTGTTGTAGACAGAATACATTCCTAGACACATGAGGATCCAAAGTGTAATAGGACTTTCAAAGGGAAATATATTGAAAGAACAATAAAAACAAATCTAGAATTTGTCAGCTGTAGAAGCAGCTCTTCATTTGATTTTATTATCTTTTACCCCTGATTTAAAAAAGTATTTCTCTGCCAAAAATCAGTATTGATGAGTTATTCTCACCCTGGATAGAACTAGTTTTAAATTGAACAAAAATGGTATTTTCAGGTAACATGGTTATAGTAGTATTAATGTTTATAGTCTTGATATAAAAATCATTTCCCCTCACCACAGGCAAACTCCCCAAGGCCCTCGGCCACCAGCCCTGTGTCCCTGCTGGTCTGCCGGCTTCCTGCTCCCCTGCTTCCTCTGCTCGGGAAGCCTTTGCAATCAAAAACCTGTGTTTCGTTAACATTCAGTAGTTTCCACCCCCTTGTCTTGTTTCTCTGTGTTCCACAGCGGGGTGAGGTGACCCTGTCTCTTCCCTCTGACTTACTTTACTTCACATTACACTCCATTCCCCGTCAAATTGCAGCAAACTGCCAGATCTCATGTTTGCTTACAGCTCTGTGCTGTTCCATCTGCCCGCACACAGCTCCTTTACTCACCCTCCCGCCATTGGACATTTGAGATGTCTCTATTTCCTCGTTGTTATCCTTATTGCTGCAGTGTACAATGGTGGGCACATACCTTTTTCAGTTGCTGTTTTTGTGCTCTTGGGGTAGATGCCAAATGAAGGATCACTGGATAAGAAGGAAAATCTGTTTGAGAAAGCCCCGTATGCTTTCCTGTAGAAGCTGAGTAGATGACATTCCACGAGCAGTGACTACCAAGTCCCTTCTCAACAAATCCTAGGAGGCACTGGTGGTTTAGCCTTTGGGGTACAGGCCAATGCCATTGATGTGAGCTGATATCTCATTGTATAGATTTTCATTCCCCAGAGAGTAATGATGAATAATGATTCTTTTTCATGTGCCTACTGGCTATCTATATGTCTTCTTCTGGCAAATACCGGATCATCTCCAGCCCCTGTTTTTGATGGGATCAGTTTCTTTTCTTGTCGAGCTGTTTTTGAAAATCTCTTTCGGCCCTCAGGATTGGACCTGGCGTCTGTGCATCAGATGAAGCGTCAGAGGTCAATGAGGATGTTGACGGATGTCACACACCTCCTCTCTGGTGGCGGGAATGTGAGTGAGAAAAACGAAGAAGGAGTCACACTGGTAAGCTCAGAAATGCTGCCTCATGGAGAACTACTTACGTGGGTGTCTAACACCTAGAATTATCAACTATTAAACAGTGTGGAGTTTTAATCCAACCAGAAAGGTCACATTCATGATAGAGATTTTAGAAAACGCATAAATATGCCAAAAGGAAAATGTCAATCATTGTTGGCGCCTCCCAGAGAGACTCCATGTTTCTCTGTTAAGATATTTTCTGTAAGCCCTTCTTCCAAGTGTGTTTCCTCTACAGATTTAGAATAAATTTTACCATTGCTTTTTTAATGGAATTTTTTTTAGGTGGAGATTGTAATAAAAATTTTCCATTTAAATTTTAAGCAAAATAAGCTATGGGTTACTCTGGTGAATAAGTTTCTATGTTCAAGCAAATTTTGACCATTACTGCCCCACCCATAATTTTTATTTAGGCACCATGATTTAAAAGTATTTTTAATCCATGGGCATAGATAAAGCAATAAAACAGTGGGTAGGATGCTTGCCTTGCATGCAACCAACCTGGATTCGATTTCTGGTATCCCATGTGGTCCCCCATATGGGATCCCAGCACCGCCAGAAGTAATTCCTGAGTGCAGAGCCAGGAGTAACCCCTGAGCATCGCCAGTATGACTCAAAACAAACAAAAGACCTCAAGACACTTCCACTGAGAACAAACTACAAAGAAGTTGAGGGGGAAATGCTTTTAATAGAGTTTCAGGTATCCAAGAGTTGTGCAGTGTTCGCCACACCACCTCCAGCCTCAGAGTGTCAGCATCCCGCCACCAATGTCTCAGCGTTGGTGAGACAAACCCACCCCCTCCCACCTAGAAGCCCATCCCCTTGGCAAACTTGGTCATGCCAACTTTCGAGATCTACTACCATTTCCAGTTGTTAATCTCTTTCTATGTTTTGTTATAGTCTGCATATGCGCTAGATCATGCTGGGTTTGTCCTTCGCCCTCTGACTGACTTCACTCAGTGTAGTACTCTCTAATCCATCCACGTTGTCAGAGATTGCATGATTTTGTTTTTTCTTACAGCTAAGTACTATACCACTATATATATAATAGCAATAAAATGTAATGGCACATACATGTACATATATATATAAACACGCATGTATGTATGTGTACACATAATCATGTGTACATATTCATGTGCTGATCTATGCCATTACTTTTTATCATTATCAGACACATATTGAAGAGATTATAAGTAGGAGTATTAAACTTATTTTAATATAAACACGGTGACACAACACCAAGGTGAGAACATTTCGCCTGTTGTCTCGTAAGTGTGTCTGAATCAGGAAAGCAAGGCTTGAAATTAACTGGAGTGGAAATAAATGCATCAAGTCTTGAGGGAAAACAAGCTGCCAGTACCCCGGGCCATTGAGGGGCATCTGAGGCTCTCTCCGTGCCCTGCACAGAAGTGGTCAGAACCACAATTTCTTTTCTTTCATGAGACACATCTGGTTTGAGAGTGGGTGCAGTAGTGAGCCAAGGAGCTGCACTCAGCAGGCCATGAGGCCTGCCTGGTGGTTTTTTTTTCCATTATTAAACACATATGAAGTGCTTTCCAGGCTCTGCCATGCTGGCAGGATACTCTCGGTAGCTTGCTGGGCACTCGGAGAGGGATAGAGGAATTGAACCTGGGTTGGCCACATGCAGGGCAAACGCCCTACCCACTGTGCTATTGCTCCAGCCCTTTATTTTATTTCCTTACTAAGCTGTAAGGAAAGAAAATGCTGCATGTTTCAAGTTCATTAAGCTACGTGTACAATAACAAAACGTTTTAACTAGCTCATGGAGGAAATATTTATTGTCCACACCCAGTGAATGTGGGCACTAGACGTATAGAACTCCTTTTGCTTTTTTTTTTTTCATAAATAGATAGATAGTGAGCGGGTCAGTTGCTTGCTTGCCCATGACCTACCGGGTACGACTCTGGCACCCCACACGTTCCCCAAGCCCTGCCAGGAGCAAGCCCTGAGCTTTGCTGGGTGTGGCTTCAAAACTTCCTCCTGAATAATTCTCATCAATCTGTGGTATTAGCCTCAGAGTCATCTTCAGCTTTCAAGGGGCAGGGGTCAAATAGGGGTACATGTTCAATGGCTAAAGCTAAAATAGGTTCTTGAGAAAATTAGATGCACAAATCAAAGAATACGTGACTTAGCAATGCTGAGCACCTGTTTCCCGCAATACATATTTACAGACTTAAAGATGAAGACAAACCAAAGCGTAATCCTGTGAGGCACAGCCCTTTTGATATGAAAATAGGAGCAGAAAGCACGGGAGAAATCTCGAGATGACTGCATACATCAGAAATTAATAGGAACGCTGAGCATTCAGGTTCTAACAAGGAACAAAATTAAGAGGCAGATAAACCAAGAATAGTATTTGTGATAGTATTTTAAAGTGTTAATAACTTTAAAATATGCATATTTTATGCATATTTTTCTATAGAGAGAAAAATTGTTGTGCCGTAGGCCCTTATAGATGCAAGGCAAGGCCCTCCTAGGTTTTATGCCCAACCCAAGCTCATAGAAAGTAATAAAAAAAAAAAAGATGGCCATCTCACAGTAGAATGTGAAACAAATAATATGAGTCCGTTCACAAAAGGAAAAGCAGCTAGCTCATAAATATGCAAAAAAAAGGCTTAGAGCTGGTCATTAAATAAATGCAAATCAATTGCAGTCATTCTCTAAATAAATGATAGCAAAGACCAGGAGTGCTAAGGGTCTTTGAATAGTGCTCTAACGTGCTGCTGGCTGGAATATGAATTGGTCAAAGGGATGTGGAACTCAGGGTCGCCTTACACAGAAATAATAGAAAGGACGTTCATTGTTTTAGAATAAGAATTCCATCTGTAGGAATGTCAGAAGGAAATAAGCAAAGAGGTGCACACTTTGTCTGTCCACACAATGATTAGGTTAATTCTGTGTCCCTCTGTATATTACACTTTCCTGGAAAACCACGCCATGGAAACCCCATCTCGAAGATGAGGCTGGACAGACTGACCAGGTCTCCTCCAGTGTCTCCAGGTGGCCCACCTGTGACTCTTGCTGATTTCTTAAGCTTCCCAAGTCATTACCGTTTCTTCTTTCCTTTGGGACAATTGAGAGTGCCACGTTGTAGGTGAGCAGTTCCCTAACTCCAAGGCGTCCTCATCCTCCACCCTGAATGCATTGCTGAGTCGGTGCCTGGAGAACGGTCAAGCCAAGTCAAGCACTGTGAGATTAAAATGAATGACCGCATGGAGGAGCTGGGCTTAAGAAAGACGCGCCTTCACCAAGCTGCTAATGTGCTTAATTCTAGGCAACAAGTGGCATGTCTCTGCTTTGTTCAGTAGCCGGAATGTCAAAAGCAATTACTAGGAAGGTACAAGTGTCCATTAAATTTTATTTTTAAAGGTCAGGAATTTTTCACACTGGGAAAGAAACACCAAGAGACAGACGGCTTGGAATTTTTCTCACTAGGGACTTGGTTTGGCCATTCTCCAACCCAGCCCAGCCCAGGGCAGGGCCTGCGGGCACCAGTGATGGCAGCTGAGTGCCCAGATGGAAACTACAGCCTCTTTAGTTTTCTCTTTATCATTGCGGTGGGGCTGCCAGTCCCTCACCTTAGAGCTATTCCTTATGAGGGATGATGAATGCCTACATCTGGAACAAGCCCGTGTCTGTACTGAGCTGTCCAGCCCTGACGGGAGACGGTGAATGGAACCCGTGTGCTGTGAATCACTGTGGGCTGCGTGATCCAGTGCCCGGCGCAGACCTGACCACAAAGACCATCCTTCCCTGGGCTTGTGAGTCGGATTCGCCTGACCTGGGCCTATGGGCCGGAGGGGCAGACACCATTCACCCACAGAGCTGGAGCGGAAGGTCCTTATTTCCCTCTCTGAAATGCTCCCCGTCTGCCCACCGGCTGTGCAGTGTCCAGAAGGCCAGTGTCTGGTGGAAAACCTGGGGGTCCTTAGCTCCAGGGAAGAGGAACTCAGAGCCATGTTGGGGGCTGGACAGCTTGTGTCTGCGGCCATCAGCGAGAGATCCAGGTCTTGCTCCTCCCCCCGCCCTCCTAGAAGGAGCCAGAGGGATCTGGAGTTTCTACCTGCGTGTTTCTGGGTGGGAGTTGGTAGGAAGGGGGGTGACCAGGTGGCCGTGGCAGGGCCATGGCCAAAACAGGCCAGACCACCAATGGGCCTGTTCCCGTGGCTGCTTTCTACTGCACTGGGGAAATTCCGGGGCTCTCAGGAATTCTGTAGTCTCAGCCTGGCTCTGGGAGCTGGCGACTGCAGAGTAGGGGACAGCCCCATCCCCAGGAGAGCAGAGCCCACAGGGTGACTGGCCGGCACGGGCTCTCTCTGTGGCATCGTGGAGATGAATTCTGTGTCAACCAAAGGTGGAGGTTTGATGTGACACCGTGTCTAGGTGCTTATGCCACTGATGAGACACACAGACTTGCCAGGCCGTGCATTGAAGGGACAAGAAGGGAGCAGCCACTCTGATCGAAGCTCATCATCATGTCCAAAGGGGGAAAAAACAAGTGTTTTTGTGGAACTGAGTCAAAATAGAACACTTTTGGCTTCACTGCAATTTTATGTTCATAATGAAAAGGGAGTGAGCTGCAAAAGTCTCCGCGCCCAGACCTTGAAGGGATCCGACTGACTGTTTGAAATGATTTTCTCTCCCCTTTCCTCATGGTTTCCTGTTGGAATTCCTGTTTATGAGTCAGTCACCGTGCTGCAGGCCATTTATACGAATTTGGTGGCTCTACTTATAAAGGACTACCGCTGGAGCGATAGCACAGCGGTAGGGCGTTCGCCTTACAAGCGGCCAACATGGCCGACCCGAGTTCGATTCCTCCGCCCCTCTCGGAGAGCCCGGCAAGCTACCGAGAGTATTCGATATGCCAGACACAGTAACAACAAAGTCTCCAATGGAGACGTTACTGGGCCCACTTGAGCAAATCGACGATCAACGGGAGGGCCTTTACCTTTACCTTACCTTTACTTATAAAGGAAGAGGCTGTTGTTGAAATGGGAATCCCCCTGGGAAAAAAATAAAACAGGGTTGGGGGAAATCTCCCATCTGCACAGTAGACTGCCTTTGCCTCGACCAACCTCAGACCTGGGGGTACTAAGCTGGGCTGTATTGAGCAAATGCTCTGGAATCTTTGTCACCACAAATTCATCTCTGCTCCTCATCTTGGCCCACTGCCTGTAAACATTAAGTGCTGGCATTTTAGAATTAGTAGTACCTGTTTGACGTTGAGGGGAAATTGTCCAAGCACCTAGTTCTTGTACTCTGTATTTGAATTCACTGGGAGTAGAGTAGGGCAACAGGGAAGGGCACAGGAGCCTCACGGGAAAGTGGGTTGTGAGTAGAGGGGAAATTGGTCATCAACCTTTAGGCCTTCCTCCAAAGGGGGGTGACATTCTCTCCTACCAGATAAAGAAAATTGTAGGAACTTTCTTACAAAGCTGATTCTGTTTTAGAGCCAATGTCTTATTCTCTGAGTCTGGAATCCGAGGAGAAAGAGAGAGGAGAAGAAACGGTCTCATTCCTGATGTTCCACTCACTCTCAATGGGACGAACATCTCCAAATGCAACAGTTATGTATACCTAGGTCGAGAAGTCAACGTGACGAATGACCTGGCACCTGAGTTGCGCAGGAGGAAGAGAGCAACTTGGAACACCTTAAAGAGCATCGAAGAAATAGCTAAGAGGACAAAGAACCTCCAGCTCCAGGCGCATCTATCTCTTTGATTCCACTGTTCTTCCTGGATTAACATACGCCTCAGAGACCTGGGCCCTACAAAAACAGGATGAGAATGCTATTTGGGTCTCCCAAAGAGGAATCGAAAGAGCTATGCTTGGAGTATCATGCTTCACTCAAATGAGAGAAAGAATCTGGAGTTCCGACCTCCATCGACGGTCAAGAATCAGGGATGCTGTCTCATTGCCGAGGCATCAAAAATCAGATGGGTTGGACACATAATGAGATTTGGAGATGACCGCTGGACTAGAGCCATTACGGACTGGATTCCATGGGACATCAAAAGATCGCATGGTCGCCCACCTATGAGATGGTCAAACTTCTTTGTCAAGACCCTGAATGATCGGTTTGAGGCTCTTCGTGTTCCTAGAACGAGCAGATGCCATCGGGCTACATTAGCACACGACAGGGACGAATGGAGACGTTGCTGGTGCCTGCTCGAGCAAATCAATGAATAATGGGATGTCAAGTGATCAAGTGATCAAGTCTTATTCTCTAACTCTCCTTCAACAACTGAGTAAGCGGCACTGGGGGTTCTGTGACCAGGCGCCTCTCTCTGCAGTTACACGCGGTGTGACGGGCAACTCTCTTTGCAGTTACACCCGGTGTGACAGGCAACTCTCTCTGCAGTTACACATGGTGTGACAGGCAACTCTCTTTGTAGTTACACTTGGTGTGACAGACAACTCTCTCTGCAGTCACACACAGTGTGACAGGCAACTCTCTTTGTAGTTACAAATGGTGTGACAGGCAACTCTCTTTGCAGTTACACATGGCATGTGCAGGGGGCCACAAGGAGGTGGTGATTCTGCTCCTGGACCACGGCGTGGACCCCAATGTGGCGGATAATCAGTACTGGACACCTCTCCACTTGGCAGCAAAATATGGCCAGGTAAAGTAATGCCTCTCATTCTTTTAAAAATCACTAAATTACTCAAGAGATAGCACCACAGGAAGGCTCTTGCCAACTTGGGTTCGATTGCCAGCATTCCGCATGCTCCCCTGAGTACCAGCAGGAGTAATTTCTGAGTGCAAAGCCAGGAGTAATCCCTGATCATTGCTGGGTGTGCCTCACAAAACAGACAAACAAAAATCACTTCATGATCCTTAAGGCATTTCAAATGTAATACTATTGCTCTCTTATACCACTTATGAGTCATTATGTGATTTAATGTTTAATTATGCCAACTAACCAAATATTTTTATGATTGAAAATTTAATGTTAGAAGGACAGAAAAAAATGCTTTGTTCAAGAGTCTGCATGTTGGGGCCAGAGTGATAGTACAGCTGGTAGGACATTTGCCTTGCATGCAGTTCACCCAGGTTTGATCCCCAGCATCCCATATGGCCCTCCAAATACAGAGCCAAGAGCATCACTGAGCATCACTGAGCACCCTTGAGCACCACTGAGTGTGACCCAAAATAAAAAGCTGAAAAAAAAGTATCTGCATAGTATGGTGAACATTGTTGAAGAAATAATCAAACATTAGAAACAGTCATCATCGAAATGAAGCTAATACTTTTTACTCACTGGTACAAAGCTTTTATAAGCATCTAACTCCAGTATTCTTTAATAGTTTTTTTTTATAGTTAGTAGATATAGAGCAAAATTACCTCTTGTTCTCTTTTTCTCTATGGATTTTATTTTGTTTTAATGGGTGAATAGTAGATTTCTGTCTGTGAATTTTTTTTTTTAGCTATTGGTACTATATCTTTATTTTAATTTAGTTTGTTCACTGGGTACCATTGCATCATAAAGTAGAAAACTCAATTTTTAAGGGTTTATGTAAGATAAATGTAAGAAGTGCACTGTATAGCACTTTCCTCCCATTGTTCATCGAGTTGCTCCAGTGGGCCCAGTAACATCTCCATTGTGAGACTTGTTGTTACTGTGTTTGACATATCGAATACGTCATGGGTAGCTAATAATAATTCATTTGCTATATTTACAAAATATTAATACTTTTTTAGAAGACTTGTTAGTAATAGTGTAACATGTGAAGAGATTTAAGTCTCCAAATATTAGTTTCGTTGTCTCGAAACAGAGCTGGGAAGGAGGTAGGTAGGGTCTCTCTGTTCCACCCCTCGGCTGCCCGCGCTCAGGGAAATGCCTGCCATGAGTCAGGGCTGACAACGTTTACCGCCGGCACCTTTGTGGCACAGATGGTCACGTGCCACCAGCCCTGCCAGGCAGCCATCAAACTGCACCCGAAGTCTGCTTGCTCTGCGCGGTGTGGGGGATGGTCACTGACTCCAGGGGTGAGGAATCGTTCTGTGAGGAGAGAACAGTCAGCCCTCACCCCTGCACAAGTGTCACCATCCCTCACAGTCGAGAATTTTAGGAGGAGGATGAAATACTGACCCAAGAGTGGTTTTGCTAAATGCAGCCTGCTCAGAGAGGCATGAGGAGAGAGGAAGGAACAGGTGTTCAGGAGATCACTGGGCGTGGAGGGTCTGGGTTCAGGGGTGGGTTTGAGCCTGCAGGGGCAGCCAGGTGCTCCAAGAGGAGCTTCCCACGCTTCCTCTGAGATTTCCTGGGAGTTCTCTGTGTTACCATGGGAGAACCTGACGTAGTTGGGCCTTCTCGGAATCTCCTCAGGCCCTAGAGGTGAAGCTGCTTCTCTCCTGAGGGGCCCGGCCTTCCCTGGAGGTGGGGGGTGGGGTGCTTGGGCTTCCGCCTCTGGAAAGGGCCTCAGTTTCTCCTCGCTAGAAGCTCGGGATCTGCAAGTCCGAGTTGGGCTGCTTCAGGGCTCTGCGTCTCAAGTTCCCAGACACTCCCCACAAGCCCCGGCAGATGCCCATGCCAGAGCAATGCATCTCAGCCCCTCTGGCTGGGGTCTGCCCACTCTTCGCTGGGGAGCAGCACAGTGGTTTTATCAGAAGCCGTGCATGGCATTGGGGGCTGGTAAAATTATCTGACCTGCGCTGCTGTCTCTCCTTCCCTTCCTCTGTCCTGTGACTTCCCTGGGCACCCCTGACTCCTGTCTTTGAGACCTCCTCCCTCTGCTTCCAGAAATCCTGCCCTTCTTACTGATGTGTCTGGCTGCTGGACAGTCCAGTGGCGGCTCCCTGCAGTCCCCTGACGCCTGCTGCGGGCCAGCTCCATTCAAGTGGGGAGGAGGGATTCTAATTGGATCTTGGATGTTTGGGCCATTCTGTTAGACGCACCTTGACCCCATCTGCATCTTTCCTTTTGGCAACGGCTCGGATCCAAGTTTGATCCCTGGCTCCCCCAGACACCACCAGGAGTCAGCCCTGAGCACAGAGCCAGGAGTGAGTCCTGAGCACAGAGCCAGGAGGGAGCCCTGAGCACAGAGTCAGGAGTAATCCCTGAACACAGAGCCAAGAGTGATCCCCAAGCACAGAGCTGGGAGTGATCCCTGGGCACAGAGATAAGAATAATCCCTGAGCACAGAGCCAGAAGTGATCCCTGAGCACAGAATCAGGAGTCAACCCTGAGCACAGAGCCAGGAGTGAGTCCTGAGCACAGAACCAGGAATGATTCCTGAGCACAGAGTCAGGAGTCAACCCTGAACACAGAGTCAGGAGTCATCCCTGAGCACAGAGCCAGGAGTCAGCCCTGAGCACAAAGCCAGGAGTGATCCCGGAGCACAGAGATGGGAGTAATCCCAGAGCAGCACCGGGCTGGAAGGGCCTTCTCCGCCCCAGTAAACACAAAGCCCACCTCTGCCTCCTCACTCGGATGGAAGCAGTGAGAGACTCCTGCTCTCAGGCTGCCGGTCGCGTCTCAGGTCTCTTTTTCCCCTGAAAACAATTTTTAACTCAGACTTAGTTTTTTAATTGTTCACCCATAAAAACTCCACTCATTTAGGGAATGATATTTTTGAAACAGGTTTTGTTTGGCTCAATGTATGTGCATGTGAGACTTGTAAGTCTCTGAAGAAATTTGCTGTAAATAAATGTATCTTTGTTGTGGAAAAAAAGCTTTGAAATGCAAACATTTTAGAAAGAAGAATGGCACTCGAAAGGCTTTCACAGGAATTTTGCTCTCATAAATAACCTACTAATGTAAATACCGTTATGCAGAGGCAGTTCATAAAACATAGCGGTATTTATGATTTACATTTATGCTAGCATGGCGTATTTATTTTTAAATTGCCCTTTATAAATGTATTAACTTTTCCAGTGAAGGAGAAAGATATGTCCGCCATTGTTTAAAACTCGGAGCTGAGTAAGTTATGTGAGCAGTCGTTCTTTGGGCCTGCCACTTACTTGCTTGTGAGCTCTGCATAAACAAAATTTGATCCTAGCCGTGTATGTATTTTATGTTTGTCAGAGGCTGTTGGTACTGCAGCAAACAATGAGAAAACAATTGCACAAAGGCTTAGCTCCAATTACACCCGCTCCAGGAGCACCGGCCTCTCCCTCTCCACATTTGTGATTGGGGGGAGGTGTTTGTGTGTCCACATTCATTTGGACCCAAATCCATCAAATGTCAGATACTCTTGGATTTTTTTTTTTAAATGTAAATCTTTGCTCTGGAAAGAGTCAGAGAGGCAGCCGGTTTTCTTCTTTCCCCAGTGTGTTACTGGCCCGACACTGAGCACACAGCCACACCCGGGGCTGGCCAGGCCAGGCTCAGAGTCTTCTTAGTTCCTTTCCCAATCCCCAGACCCACCCGCAGAAGGAGCCCTGCCCTCCCTCTGTACCTGACAGGGTTCACTCCCTTCTCTCTGCCCGTCACCCCCATCGTCATAGAAGTGAGGATAGAGGTGTAGATGCTTTTCTGCTGTGTGTTTGGGGCGTCCAGGGTATATTTGCAGGAGTAGTATTACTGGATCATCTGGAAGCTCGATTTCTAGTTTGTTGTTGTTGTTGTCGTTGTTGTTTTTAAATTTTTATTAGTGAGACACCATGAGGTTTGTAAGTTGTCGACTTACAAATTTTTGTGCTTGGGTTTCAGTTATACAATGATCAAATACCCATCCCTCCACCAGAGCCTATTTCCCACCATCACGGATCCCAGTATCCCTCCCACACCCCCACATCCGCCCCATCCCTGCCTCTGTGGCAGGGCATTCCCCTCTGTTCTCTCTCTCTCCTTTTGGGTGTTGTGGTTTGCAAAAGAGGCAATGGGTGACAATCATGTTTAGTCTATAGTCTACTTTCCGCATGCTTCTCCCATCCTGGAGGATCCTCCCAACACCCTTTATTTGGTGCTCCCTTCTCTATCTGAGCTCCCTTTTCCCCTAGCATGAGGACTGTTCATATTGTTTTCCAAAAAGCCTGGACCAGAAAATAGAATATGATATTATCTTGATCTTTGAGTAGCCAAAGAGTTTTTTTTTTAACATAAAGGTATTAAACATGGGGAAACAAAGGGCTGTTACACTTAAGCAAAAGTAAACATTTTAGGGGCTGGAGCAATAGCACAGCAGGTAGAGCATTTGCCTTGCATTCAGCCGACCTGGGTTCAATTCCCAGCATCCCGAGCACCACCAGGAGTAATTCCTGAGTGCATAAGCCAGGGGTAAACCTCTGTGCATTGCCGGGTGTAACTCAAAAAGAAAAAGTAAACATTTTAATAGTTCTAAACAAAATATATTTGTAAGATTAGTTAGCAACCAACCATAGAATATGAGGAAATAAAGATGACTTATAAATCAGTAATAAAAAGGTGAACACTCCAGGAAAGTATAGGTAAATCTTAATAGATGCTTCACAAACAAACTATAGAAATGGCTCTTAGGCATCTGAGAAGGTATTTAAAATGAGTTATTGGGGAATATGAATTCCGTAATACTGAACTATTATATGCCAAGAATGTTTGTTAGCTAAGGCTTTTAAAATGTGTATTATCAGTTGCTAGAAAGACAAGAATCTAGAATGCATAAATTTGTGGTAATAAAATTTATGAATGAAAACTTGGACACTCGGAATTCTTTGGTGGAACAGGAGTGCAAGTGTGAGATCTTTGAAATAACAATCTGTTCACTCTGATACTGTCCAAATCTATATCCTAGTGATTTTGCTTCTCCATCCAGCTCCCCAGACAAGCTTGTGACCGCACACTGAGAGAGAATGTTTACAGGAACCTTGTTTATGGATACAACTAAATGGCTGCACATGTCTCAAGTGTCCGAAGGCAGTTGAGTTGTGGTGTGTCTGTGAAACCAGGAACGCACCCGTCCCCACTAGCAGACCTGCAGGGGGCGACATTAAGTGTGAGAAGTGCAGTGCGGGAGGACAGGTGCCCAGGGATGTCCCGGCAGAGTGATGAACTGAGCTCCACAGACAGTAAACTAAGCCCTGTTCTGTGCGGCCAGCCTTCACGCCCTGGAGGAGCAGAGGGAACACAGGGCAGGTTCGACTGAGCACACAAGGGCTGTGCTCTCTGGAAACGCGGGGGCAGCGGTCAGAGAAGCCGCAGAGCATGCCAAGGGCACGGCTGACACCTTGTACGTGCTGGAGTTCATCCCATCACTGTTCTTCCCGTGCTTGACATGCTACATCGTCAGACTCTTCAGATGCTTGCGTGTTCTAAACTAGAGCATTTTCTAAACACACAAGTTTCTCCACATACGGTAACATCTCGTTGTGAGCTGCATTCTTATTCTTCATACTTAGTTTTTCAAGGTTTGCCTTGTTCACAGTTCCATCACGAGTGGACAGTATGAGTTGCTCATTTAATACTCAACAACTAAAACATTCCATTCTTCTCAGGAAAGAATCAGGAAATTTCAAATCCTCAGCCGTTTTCCACCCAGTTGAGCATGGATTGGGGCTTTGTGATTGAGGCATAAGTGCTGAACTATTTTGTGTGTCTGACGTTTTGAGAAAGGAACTGGGAAGGGAAAGGAAGCGCAAGAATTCCCAGAAATCTCCTTCCCCAGGGCAGCAACTGAGATTTCCTGGTGGCTGCCAGGGACCCAGCGAGTATTTCCTGTCTCACTTCTCTCAATGTTTCAGACGAACCTGGTGAAGCTTCTCTTGATGCATCACGCCAACCCGACCCTCCTGAACTGCAACGAGGAGAAGGCCTCAGGTGAGTGCACGTCTCTGCAGGGATGCTGATGGTTCTCCTGAGCCACTGGTGCACCTGGTGAGCAGAGGTATCAGACCCACGAGGAGCCCCCTGGAAAACACCCCTCAAGCACGGCTCCCCTACTCACAAGCCCGGCATCCTCAGTGAGGTTTGAGAGCAGTTAACACTGCACTTGAGTCTCACTGGGGTCAGGCAGAGGCTTCCCTGGGACTCGTGTGTCTTTTTTTTTAAATTTTGAATACCCACCCCTCCACCAGTGACCATTTCCCACCACCACGGATCCCAGTATCCCTCCCACCCTCCATCCCCCCATCCCACCCTGCCTCTGTGGCAGGGCATTTCCCTCTGTTCTCTCTCTCCTTTTGGGTGTTGTTGTTTGCAAAAGAGTTAAGCCTGATTTTCAGGGAGAAATGTTGGATGATTTACTTTCCATTGATCACTTTGTATATAAGGAGATGCCGCGCAGCTGCTTACGCGGCCGCGCAATTTGGAGTAAATGTCCTGGTTCCCGCATGCCCGAGCTATGCTTGTAGAGGCTCATGGTCACCGGGGTTCCATCTGGAGGAGGCGGCATGCAGCACCTACCCCATCTGGGACTTCCCAGTGATATCGGCTCTGTTTGGAACCTGGAGCATTCTCTGGGAGCTGTGGAGCCCTCCCCCCAGCGGTTTTCTTCTTTGTTGCTGTGTGTTGTAAAGATGGCACTGGGGGGCAGGTTGTGGGCGTGACTTCCCGAATCAGAGATTACCTTGTGAGTCTTTAGGGCAGTGTGTACCTCATTCAGCTGGGGAAGAGGGTGCCTGGGTGTTCCATGGAGTCTGTGGGACGCCACTATACTTCGTGGGTGAGGCAGGTCCCCTCACACTGCACTGAGTTTACATGTCAGTCGCTCTGTGCTCAATAGTTTAAGAGAAATAGTAACTTAGTACTTCACTGTCATTTTGTCTTGTGAAATAACAGTGGTAGGGAGTTTGCCTTTCACATGGCAGACAGAACTGGGTTCAATCCCGAGAATTCCATATAGCCTCTGAGCACTGACAGGAGTAATTCCTGAGTGCAGAGCTAGGAGTAACCCTCAAGCATTGCCAGGTGTGACCCAAAACCAACAACAACAACAACAAAAACCTCTGACTTCAGAGTAATTTTAGTCATCTTGATAACTGAACTAACTCATTCAGACTGATTAGTTATTAGTCTGATTTCAGACTAATTCCAATGATGGTATAATTATCTCAGCATTAACTCCAAGTGTGTGCCTAATGATAAATGTTAAAAGAGTAATTAGCAATCTGTGTATCTTTTTCCTAATTTTTCACAAACATGTTGATGGTGGAACAAGTCACATTTCTGTGAACTCAACTTCCACCGGACACCCCCTTCCGCCGCCCTTTTGAGCTCAGGTCCTTGGGCCCCTTCCCAGGGGTGGGACAACAGGGCTAGCCCCGCCTGCATGACCCCCCACTCGCATCCCTTGCCTTGTAAGTGTGGTGGCAGCTGTCCTGTAAGGGTGTTCCAGGGCATGGGAGCTGCCAGCTCTCGCGTCCCGAAGAGCAACAAGCCTCCAGGTCTAGACTCAGTCCCTGGCCCCCAAGGTCGGGCCCAGGGTGACGGTGAGACAGAATGGCGTGTCAGCCTTGCGGACTCAGCCACCAAGGTCCTACATCCCCATACATTCCCACACCCGCCACATTTGTTCCCAAGACACAGGTGTGTGGGTGCTCCCCCAGCCAACCCTGGCAGGTAGGGACACTTCCCCAACACAAGCAGCAGAGACTGGGAGAGCTGTAAGCGTGGCCAGCCCACGCCAGCTTCCCCTCCCACGCAGGAGAAGGGACCTGCCCAAGAGTGGAGCAGAGAGACTCAAAGCCGCCCACCTGGAATGGTGGAATTACCAGCCCGACTTGGCTGGGGCCCTTCGTGTTTCCTGCCTCGGGAACGGAAACACACACACAGTCTCTCTGGGGCTCGGGCAGGTCGTAGGTGATACCAGGAGGGGACAGAAACGGTCTCCCGGGGCGGGAGACAAGTCCCGCTAGTGTCCTTGGTCCAGGCCCCAAAGCTGGTGGCACTGCTATGTCATGGGGCTTGGAGAGAAGCCGTGGCTTCCCTTGGGGCTAGGAGACCTAAACATGAATTTTAATTCAGAATTTATCAGTTATTGGTTTTGAGTAGTTGGATTTTGATGAAAAACCATCCAGCATATGCAGTTGTCATTACCCACATGTCGTTTGTGGTGGGGAATCTCTGAAGGGGGACCTTCTCAGGGATGTTCAGAGGTCTGGGCCCCCATCCTGGCACTTCTCGGCCAACTGGACCACAAGTCCAGTGTGAGAGCCCATAAGTGACACTCGGACCCCGTGACACTGGGGTCCACCCTGTCACAGGGCCTCCCCGGCTGGACCCCATGGTGCTGGGGGCTAAGAGGGGTCAGGCACTGTGAGGAGGGAGCCTTCGCCCCTGCACTCTCTCCGGATCAGTGGAGGATTCGTAAAGAAGCTTTATTGCATTATTCAGATGGATAAGGAAGACCTCGAGTGATAGCACAGCGGTAGGGCGTTTGCCTTGCACGCAGCCAATATGGCCAACTCGAGTTCGATTCCTCCGCCCCTCTCGGAGAGCCCGGCAAGCTACCGAGAGTATCTCGCCCGCACGGCAGAACCTGGCAAGCTCCCCGTGACGTATTCGATATACCAGACACAGTAACAACAAAGTCTCCAATGGAGACGTTACTGGGCCCGTTCGAGCTCGAGCAAGGAAGACCTCAAAGAAAGACTGAGATCTTTCTAGCTTTGCTTGATGATAGAACCAAGTGCTTACTTGTACGTCTCCCCACTGGTGGACTGTTTTGAAGATGCCCCAATATGTTCTATAACCACCCCGTGATTGGACTATATCTTCACTACTTGGTGATGAAGAACCGTTTTACTGAGAGTAGAATTCCATTTGGTTCTTTCAGGCTTAGCGTCACGGTGATCTTGCCTGTTCCACATCACTGTTCAGGGCATATTATTTGTATAATTTTTATTTACTTTGTAATTAAATACATCACCAATGGGAAAGGAGACTGTCATTATAAATGGAATAATGCCATTTTGTTCCTACCATAAACTCTGCGTGTTTTGTCCCCTGTGTGTTAAAAAGCCTTGCCATCGTGAGCAGGTTGAAGCCAGTGAGAGACAGTTAAGCTCTGCCTTCATCACCCACAGTTCCCAATTTTTGTTTCCTGCAGACGTTGCTGCGTCGGAGTTTATTGAGGAGCTGCTGCTGAAGGCTGAGGCGGCATGGGGAGAGAGGGCAGGAGAGCCACTGTCGGCCTCTGCCCTAGCCCAGGAGGACACTTATGAGGAGATCATCCCCCAGCCGCCAGTGCTGGCGAGTAAGCTGTAAGTACCTCCCTTCTGGAAGGACTCACACCCAGAACTCATTTGTCAATCGAGGACAACTAAGTCCTACATGTCCTGCGGATCATCATTTTGCTGTACATCTGTCTCTCAGCTAAGAGAGTCAGATTATCAAAACTGTGTATCAACATATTTACCAAAAGTTCTTGCTGATAATAATCAGCTTCTCATATTTTAATGAAAACTGTCCTATTGTTTAGCTGTGATTTATTAGGGAAATTGGAAATTTATTAGGGGCCAGTGATAACATTTTAAATACAATTCTACTTTTTAGCTGAAATACATCTAAGAACTGTCATAGCGGCTGCCTTTTCTAGAGCAGCAAGTACAAGTATGCTTTGTTTTCCACTAAAATGTAAAAACCAGAATGGTTTCTGGTCTATGATTCTTTTCTAGACAGTGACCCAGTGAGGGTGAATCTTGAAGATGAATAGTAAGTGAATGGAACCAGAGCAAAGACCACAATTCCACTTACACAAAATTCGCAGTACTGGTCAGTCCTTAGAGACAGAGAGTGAATTAGTGGGCTGAGGGTGGCCTGAGAAATGATTCTTTGTGGATGGAAGGGACCCTCAGGGGAAGATGAAAATGTCCTTAAAGTAGATGTGATGGTTTACACAGATTTGTGAATTACATATTTTAAAAGTGTGATTTTCATCTGTGAATTCTATCTTAATTATGTGAATTATATCTTCTGTGAATTATATTTTAATAAATTACTCATATGGAAAAAGAAAGCATATCTCAGGTTGCAAATCAAATCTGCTTGTACACAGAGCGGGAGCAGAAGCTGTTTCCTTGCCGGGATGGGGCTATGTCTAATGGGGGAGTCTGTGAGGGTCCCCAAGGAAGCCGACGCCTGGACTTCTGGACAAGTGGCAAGACAATCTTGCAGTGAAGGTGGAGTCCACGTGACCCTGATCAGTGGCATGGAGGAAATGCGGGTGGGCATAATGGAAGGTGGCAACTACGGTATTGACCATCATTCAGTAGGTTGGACCACCAGGGCAGGGAGCCCGCAGGAGATACAAGTCTACCAGATGAGGAAGACCCTTTCTTGTGTGAGGAAAGTGCTGTCCCTTCCTCCCACCAGTAGAGACCCCCCTCTGATTCCTAGGTGGAGTGTTGCTGAGACCCCTTCACTCTCCCCAGGAGGTTGACGAGATGTTTCCCAGGACAAGGGCCCAGGATGAGTGAGCTCACCAGGCCGACTCTTCCTGCGCCATTCCCTTCACAGACACTCAGAACACATTTCACCTCAGAATAGCCCAGACAGTTCAGGGAGATGCTGGCCCGAGCTCAGCTCTACTGGAGGCTGAGCAGTGTCTATCACTGGCTTTGATTTTCCCCGCTGGGCTGTAGTGGTGCTTGGGTTTCATGCCAGCCCCGTGCAAAGATGCTCAAAGATTCTCTGCTTCCATCTTCAGAGCCCCATGACTGTACTCTTATTGTCAAGCACAACAAAACTAGGAAATCAAGCAATAGACACCAGGCACACAGGCCTCAGACCATCACACCATGTCCACGTTAGACCCCTCCTGCTTTCGTGGGTGGAGAAACAGCCCTCATGTTTATGCCAGAGAAAGAAAGAGACCTAGAGACCTAGGTGGAAAGAGCCTAGAGACCACAGCTGGGTCAGGCATTCGGCAAGGGGCTCTGTGATAAGCCGTTCTTCCGAGCTAACGAGATGCTTTGTCACCCGTCTTTGCTCTTCCACTGGAGTAAAAGGAATACAGATACTCACCACGGGAGAATTTCAAGTTCTGGGGCTTGAAAAATCAATGCCCAGAGTTCCACTCACCTTTAAGATTATCTTGCATACTTACATTTTAGAGGTGTTCGAATATAAACAGAACTAAAGTTTCAGTCAATTCTAAATTTGTCCATAGTAAGATATTTTGAATAAATTTGAACTTATCCATGGGGTTGGTAGTTTTTCTGTTGTTGCTGTTCTTTGCTATCAAAAATATAAAAGAAATTAAAAATAATCTGTCTAGACAAGTACTTTTTGAAAGTATATTATTGCTTGAATAATGACATACTTTATTGTTTGAATAATAGCTATCAAAATATGAAAGACATTAAAAATAATCTGACTAGACAAGTACTTTTTGAAGGTATATTATTGTTTAAATAATAACATACTTTATTGCTTAATAATAACATACTTATTGTTGATAATTTATTTGTTATACAGTTAAACATTGTTGATGATTTATTTGTTATAAACACTTAAATATAATTATTTTAAGCATATTTTCCTTCTGACTCTAGGCAAGACTTTGAAGCTTTAAAATAGATTTTATATTGAATTTTGATCTTTCATCATTATAGTTTACATCATCTGCATTTAATAATACTGAACACCTATTAAACAACAACTCAGTCATATTTTTTAAGTTTTTCTTAATTCTGAAAAAATGGCAAGTAGACTTGAATAGCTAACGACAATAAGAACATTATAAATCTTACTTTGATAATCTTATAATGCATTTATAATCTTATAATATTATTATTTATAATCTTATAATGCTTGCATTATAGATCTGCATGCATCAGGGGTTTTAATTGCCTTTATAATTTTATAAATGTGAGAATGCTAAATGAGCACAAACCACAAGCAAGTATACTTGATAAATTTATTTGTTCTGATAATACTGTTTTGTTTGGGTTTGGGTTTGGTTTGGGGGCCACACCTGGCGGTGCTCAGGGCTTATTCCTGCTCTGTGTTCAGAGGTAACTCCTGGCGGGGCTCAGGGTACCATAAAGGATACTGGGGCATCTAACCCAGGTTGACAGTGTGCAAGGTAAGTGCCCTGCCCACTGTCCTATCTCTCCAGTTCATAGGTATGATGGTGTTTTCACTCTGAAAATTATATAAACACTTGAACTAACTCACTCTTTAAACTAACTCACAAAAAAAGAAGCATAGAACTTTCTCTCAGGCCAGCACCTGTGTATTGTTGAGGAGAACATCCACTGCCGGTTGATTTTTTCATAATATCACAGTGTCCCAGTGGCAATTGATTTGGTGAACAAACATATTTTAATAAGTTGGTGTATTTTCAGTGTGTTATTCTTTTGATAGAGAGTATGCACTGTAGCACTGTCCTCCTTTTGTTCATCGATTTGCTTGAGCGGGCACCTGTAACGTTTTCATTGTGAGACTTGTTGTTACTGTTTTTGGCATATCAGTACACCACAAGGAGCTTGCTAGGCTTTGCCATGCGGACAGGATACTCTTGGTAGCTTGCTGGGCTCTTTAAGATAGACGGAGGAATCGAACCCGGGTTGGCCACGTGCAAGGCAAACTCCCTACACGCTGTGCTGTCAGTCCAGCCCATGCAGATAATTAGATCATTTATATTTTAAGTAGAATGAGACCAGTTGTAGTTACTGGTTTTGGCATATCGAATACACAGGTATTCAGGTTCAGCACCTCCATGAATGTGCGAGGAATGCCAAGAGAGAGAGAGCCACAAAAAATCGCCTATCTTCGAAAACTCTTGAGCTAATTCACCAGCGTGGTTTGGCGCATGCCTCAGGCAACCGCAAGCTAACGTCCGAGCTCGCAAAGCAGTGCAGAGATGCGATCAAGGAAGACCTCAAAGAGAGAAGAGCAGAAGTACTGGTAGATGCGGCAGAAGCCGGGAAAAGTATTCGTAACGCCCGCCTGTCCTTCACCAACTATAAGACCAAGATGACTGCCCTCCGACATCCTGATGGATCCATCACATCCTCCAGAACGGCAATGGAGAAGATTATCTATGACTTCTACTCAAATCTCTTCGATAGCCATGTCCACTTGCCGACATACCAAATTCCACAGGATGGATATGTCGTTCCCAACGTTCTCCCTTCCGAAATCCGACACGCCATTTCGTCGGTAAAGAAACAAACAGCACCCAGCCCAGACAAGGTCAGACCTGAACACCTGAAGAACCTGCCGTCAGTACTCATCAATACACTGGCTCGGCTCTTCACTCGCTACCTGTCTGAATGCAAGGTTCCGTCCCAATGGAAAACCAGCAGGACCGTACTACTGTTCAAGAAGGGAGACATCCATGACATTGGCAACTATTGCCCAATCTGCCTATTGTCTGTCATCTACAAGTTGTTCACTCGAGTCATCCTAAATAGGATTGGCAGAACACTAGATGAAGGACAACCATGCGAGCAAGCAGGGTTCCGCAAAGGATTCAGCACCATCGACCATATCCACACGATAACCAAGCTCATTGAAGTTTCTCGGGAGTTCAAGATGCCGCTCTGTTTAACGTTCATTGATTTAAAGAAGGCCTTTGATTCTGTTGAGACGGAAGCGGTCATTGAAGCCCTAGCCAATCAGGGCATTCAAGCCCAATACATCAGGATCCTCCATGAGCTCTATTGCGGATTCACTACCAGGATCTCACCATTCTACAAAGAAGTGATCATTGATGTCAAGAGAGGGGTGCGGCAGGGTGATACCATTTCACCGAAACTCTTCAGTGCCACCCTCGAGAACATCATGCGACGACTGGAATGGGAAGGAATGGGAGTGAAGATAGATGGTCGGCAACTACACCACCTCCGCTTTGCTGATGACATTGTTTTAATAACACCAAACATCAGCCAAGCGGCACAAATGCTGGCCGACTTTGACCGTGAGTGTGGAAAGGTAGGACTAAAGCTGAATCTCACGAAGACAATGTTTATGAGAAACAGCCTTGTTCCTGACGCCCCATTCTCTCTCAATGGAACCACCATATCCGAATGCAACAGCTATGTGTACCTAGGTCGAGAGGTCAACATGACAAATGACCTGGCACCCGAGCTGCGCAGGAGGAAGAGAGCGGCTTGGAACGCCTTCAAGAACGTCGAAGAAATAGCTAAGAGGACGAAGAACCTCCGGCTCCAGGCACATCTCTTTGATTCCACTGTTCTTCCTGCATTAACATATGCCTCAGAGACCTGGGCCCTACGCAAACAGGATGAGAATG